TAAAGACCTAAATGTAAGACTGGGTACTACAAAACTCTTAGAGGAAAACATAGGCAGAACACTCTTTGACATAAACCACAGCAATGTCTTTTCCGAGCTGTCTCCTAGAGTAATGGAAATAAAAACAAAAATAAACAAATGGGACCTAATTAACTCAAAAGCTGTTGCACATCAATGGAAACCATAAACAAAATGAAAAGACAACCCACATAATGGAAGAAAATATTTGCAAACGATGTGACCAACAAGGGATTATTCTCCAAAATTTAAAAACAGCTCATGCAGCTCAGTATCAAAAAAACAAACAACCCAATCAAAAAATGGGCAGAAGATCTAAATAAACATTTTTCCAAAGAAGAAATACAGATGGTCAAAAAGCACATGAAAAGGTGCTCAACATCACTAATTATCAGAGAAATGCAAATCAAAACTACAATGAGATATCACCTCACACCGGTCAGAATGGCCATCATCAAAAAATCTACAAACAATAAATGCTGGAGAGGATGTGGAGAAAAGGGAACTCTCCTACACTGTTGGCGGGAATGTAAATTGGTACAGCTACTATGGAGAACAGTTATGGAGGTTCCTTAAACTAAAAATAGAGCTATCATATTATCAAGCAATCCCACTCCTGGGCATATATAACCAGAGAAAAATATGGTTCAAAAGAATACATGCACCCCAATGTCAACTGCAGTGCTGTTTACAATAAGTAAGACATGGAAGCAGCCTAAATGGCCATCAACAGAGGAGTTGATGAAGAAGATGTGGTACATATATACTATGGAATATTACTCGGCCATCAAAAAGAATGAAATTATGCCATTTGAAGCAACATGGATGGACCTGGAGATTATCATACTAAGTGAATTAAGTCAGACAGAGAAAGACAAATATCACATGATATCGCTTATATGTGGAATCTTTAATAAAAATGATAGAAATGAACTTATTTACAAAACAGGAGCTGACTCACAGACTTAGAGGACGAGGAGGAGGGATTGATTTGGAGTTTGGCATTGACATTTACACACTGCTATATTTAAAACAGATAACCAACAAGGACCTACTGTATAGCACAGGGAATGCTGCTCAATATTCTGTAATAACCGAAATGGGAAAAAAATTTGAAAAAGAATAGATACATGTATATATATAACTGAATCACTCTGCTGTACACCTGAAACCAACACAACATTGTTAATCAACTATGCTCCAATATAAATTTTTTTAAATGACAAGTATAAGAAAATTCGGAGGAATAAAGTTAACTAGGCATTCAGCAAAATCAAAACAAAAGAAAAACCCAGAATTTCTATTACATCTCTGCCCTAAAAATACAACTAACCAATTCAGTCTAACATTTTCAAATTTAATAATTAACATGAATTTTTACTGCATTTTAGAATTTATAGAAGAAATTCTTTGTTTTTGACTCAGGGTGTTTCAATCACATTTGTGATGCTCCAGAAACACAGAATGACCCAAGATTTTATTACCACAATTAAAACAGGCTAGCATATATCAGGTACTAAATAAATGCTCACTGAATGAAACTAACAAATATTATTAAAATATGGTTTGTTATATAGTTTTAGAAGGATACTTGATGACAATTACACATTTTTAAAGTGTAATATGTCACTCTATAACTTTTATGGAGAAAATATCACTTTTAGGATAAAAGAAAGTATACCCAAGATATGTACAATTGATTCATAAACTAGCAACCGTCTTCTGTCTTGCTGCATTTACAGTCAACATTATACAATTATGAAGGTACTGATTTGTAATAGGTATATGTAATTAGCTTTAGACTGCCAAAAGTTAAATAATCAATATTATTCCTACACATCATTTTTTTTATCAGTTAATATTACAGGTTTGCCTAGTACAACGATGAGGGAAACTGTTTTCCTAGTCTCTTAAGTGCTCAACTCCTCTCTAGTGGCACCGTCTTCTCAGAGTAAAGCAGATTCAGAACCATCTCTATTTCAATCAACTTTCTCTCCTTCCTTCACTGCCAAGTTTCTTCAAAGAGTAATCAAAGTTTATTACCTCTGCTTCCTCATCTCCCCATCATTCTTCAATATCTATAGCAGCCTGGCTACTTCCCTCAACCTCCCACTAAACCTATTCTCACCAAAGTCATTCCTCCTTAGTGGCTAAATCCAAGTAGTGCTTTTCAGTCCTTATCTTGCTCTTTCAATCCTTTATGCTCTACAATTGCCGTGTCCAATACAGTGACAACTAGCCTCATGAGGCTACTCAGCACTTTCAAATGTAACAGGTACAATGAAGAAAAATGAATTTTTAACTTTTAAAATTTTAATTAAATTTAAATTTGAAAACAGACACATGATTCAGCTTTAAGTTTCTTTGAAACAATTTGGGTATGTGAACCTAGTTTTTCAACTGTATATTTTATAAAACAAATCAAGAATTTCCAATGAAAATTTAGCCTCTGATTTAAGATGTCACGTATACACTGAATTAAGTATAACATATACACTGGATCTCAATGACTCAGTATAAAAAAGATTATAAAATGATCACATTACTAATTTTTATATTGATTCTATATTTTAATAATGGTATTTTGGATATACTGGGTTAAATAAAATAATCATTAAAATTAGTCTCAACTTTTTCTTTTTACATTTCTTAAAGCAGGTACTAGGAAAACTGAAAATTATCTATGTAGAATATACTTTGTTTCTATTGGAAAGTGGCATGCTATAGCATTAGATATAAATGACCTCTCATTCCTTCTCAGAATGCTGCTGCTTTTCTCCTTCTTCTTCTTGGACTCCCCCTTTCTAGTGTGCAGTGTAACTTATTCTTCCACTCACTCCTTAAATGCCAGTGTCTCCCAAGGTTGTCCCTAGGCCCTTTCCCCTCCTCACACTAGGTACTTTCCTTGGGTGATCTCACCCTCACGCATGGCTCCCACTGTTCCTGTACCCTGAGGACTGTCAACCCTCTATGTGCAAATCAGCCCCTCTCCTGAAAACACTAAGTTCAACTCGACCTGCACCTAAGTACACCTGCACTTAATTTGCCGTTACATCCTTACATATTTACCTTATTAATATCATAAATCTGGTCCCTCTTTTCGATTTCATTCAGGCCTTCGTGATTTCTCACATTTACCACTACAACTGCTTTGAAAGTGCTATCCCTGGCACCTTCCAAAGCAACTTCCTTTTGCTGGTAAGTTTCTAAAATTCACACCTGGCCATACGATTTCTCTATTTAAAATACTTCGGTGGTTTCCCCACTGCCTTCAAGTTAAAATAAAAACTTCTTATAATCATACATAAGGCTTTATGCTTCATCATCAACCCTATAAAATCCCAAGCTCAGGGACATCTAAGCACCTGCAGTTTACTGAATACAGCATTTGCTTCCTCACCACCATTCTTTGCACATGCTCTTTTTGCTGGCAAGAATATCGTTCCTAAAACTCTATCCTGTTCTCTTAGTCATCCTTCAAAACTCAGCTGATATATCATCTCTCCCAGGAAACATCTCCAAACCACCAAGTCTGAACAAGTGTCCCTCCTCTGTGTCACCACCACCCCTATACACAGCTCTACCAATAACCCAATGACACTGCCCTAGAATGACCTGGTTACTAGTCTGTAAACTCCCTGAAGGTAGGAATTAAGTGTTTTAACTTTACCTCCCTGCGCTACACTTAATGAGCACCTATTTATTAAATGGACACAATATTAAATAAGGGAAACCCACAGAATAAACTGCAAGGCTAGAAACTTAAAACTAGGCTAATATAAGTCACGAGTTAAATGAAGAAAGTTAACCTAGTCACTCTAAAAACACTTTATAAGATGGTCTATTTCTGGACTTAATGAGCTAGCCAATAAAAATATATATCCTAAATAATCACTAAAATAGCAAATACTCAACAAAAGCAATCATTTAAAAAATTGAAAACTAAATATGTTATTCTATTTCTATAGCCTTGTATTTCATACCTTTTTCCCCTAATTCTACTTATCAGTTCCTTCCTTCAGCTCTTTAACTTTCCTTCCAGTTAAATGTTGCATTTTTTCCTTCCCTCGCCCAATCCTTTTCATGTCTACTGTCCCTCCAATTCTTCTTTTAATCTAACAAAAAATACAAACACTGTCTTTGTCATCTCTGTCAGCAATTCTGTATAAAACAAAGGAATGGTAAAAAGCAGTGAACGGAATGATATCACCAGTTAGATTGGTAGACAAAACCATATGCATTAATCTGGGTGGTTGGTTTCACAATACTAAGCAGCTAATCTAGACCATATGCATAGTAAGTAGAGTCTGACAGGCATCAGCAAGTCCTTGAGGTTATTGCAGCAGGGTAGTGGGGGGTAAGAGAAAAGACCAGCCAACTTGCTGGTGGTGAGGGCAGCTACAGCACAGCCTTACAACATTCTCCTATTTCTGCCCACCATTCAAGAGGAAGCAGAAACAGGGGGAATTCAGGAAGCTGTCAGCTATCTGGACTAGCATGGTCAGGTAACCGATTTAACGGTGTTTGCAGCATTAGCCAACCAGCCTTAGATGCTAGCCTGAGCACACTGGCCAGGGTACCAACTTTAGGACACAAAATAAAGACTGCTACTCCCAGGTCACTTCTGAATTTCAGTTTTACTACAGAATAGATTCTGAGAGAGGAAGAGAAGTACCTGTAGAGAAATTATATAAGTATTTAAAGTAGGCTGGTAGGAAGAAACAATTGTTAGAAGGAAGGAGAGTACATTCTTTTAACTACCTGAGAGTAACTTTCTAAAACCACTCAACATTAGTTCTGCAGGCATGGGGAAGTTCACCCTGAGGACCTATCTCTTAAGGAATTCACAATCAAACAAAAATGAAATCTCTTGAAAAGGTTTACAAGTTTAACAGTGAAGGATGTGTCTGAAAAAGTTTCTGGACTGTCAAAGCAGCACCTTTACTGAATTCAAAGCAGTATAGTGCGAGATTTACTTTTACCCGTGTCCAGGAGTTAAGTTTTGATTCTCCAGAATTCTGTGGATCTTTCTTAATCAGACAACACAAGCACCATATTAGAATTTTTTGGCTTTCATCTGCAAAAAGGAAAACTAAAATGAGTAGGTTTTACCAAATAGAAAGAAAAGATAATCAGTATAAAATTTGTAACATTATATACTAAAGGAAATATATTTATTATATTTTAGGAAAATCACAAACTACTAAGTTCATAGAACAAGCATCCAGGACCATGTGTGAAACTTTGTGGTTTTTTTCCTTCTTGTGGGTTCAGGATCACTTATGCTTAGCCCTTGTGAGGTCAATTCTCTTTCTGTCACAGCAGCAATTTTTAAAGCCAAAAGAGAATGATGGAAAGACTAAAAGAACTAGCTTTTTTCAAGATCAGTTCTTTACTTTATATTCAAATCATTAGTAATTTCAACCTTTTTAAGGCAATATCACTGCCATAAGCAGCAGTCAATATTTCTGATTTAATCAAATTGGCCAAAATACCCCCGGCTTGTTAAAAATAAATTTAACAAAAAGAATTGTTTTAAAATACATTCTTTTTAGTACCAAATGGTTTGGATAAAATAGAAGCCTTTTACATGCTCTTAATTCTTTACTCTAAAATGTAAAACTTTACTAAATATGTGATAACAATGCTGACCTTTGAAATCTATTTGGCTAGAACATCTACTTGGTAAGCCATTCTCTCTTTCCTCCTTTGGTAACTAAGTCCATTCAAGTTGGAGATTCTATAACACAACTGAGAAGCAAAAATGAGACCTAAAAACTGAAGATGTCAGTACCTGAACTAGAGTCAAGCTACTATGGACTTTACCACAAGGCCATGGAGGTGATGCTGAGGAAACCCAGCACCCAGAATCACTCCGCTGCAGAATCACCTGATGCTCTTTACTTTGTTATCTACTGCAATTTCATAAACACAGCATTTCTAAGGCCTTCATTAACAAGAAATAAGGAGAATACAAACTACAGTAAGCTATCTCGGCATTTTCAAGCACAAACCAAAGGACCCTGACAGTAATTTTAAATCCATTTTCCCCCCATAAACTTAGGCTCTCCTAATAACTAACATCTCTGAACAAACTTTATCAGGGGTTATCCTGAGGGATATTCCTATTTTTCCTAGCTTTTATGAGCTCAATTACATCACTGGCTTGCCTGAAATCAGTTCATTGCAAGAATCACATAATTTAACCGCTGGAGATCCTAGGGTTCTTCAAGTTGAAGCAATGCCACTGATTAAAAATCTGACTGTTGTACTTTCTATGTTTTAAATACCAGAAGAAATTATAACTATCTGTATGTCACAAGTGTGACAAACACATCTAATGATATGCTTATGTAAGCAGCTTCCCATGTTATACAGAATGCAACCTGATGGGGAGCATTCCCCAAAATCAGACTCTCACCACTAAAGAGAAAAAAGACAGAAAATGTTAATTATGGAGTGTAAATCTAAAAGAATCCAAAAGATAGGAGTTTTCCCCAGGTGTTGAGTGACTCTGCACATTTAGCTCAACAAGCATATTATTTTTTACTTTTCTCTCAAAAAGAAAAAGAAGAGCACAAGTAACTTGCCCCCAGCCTTTATTTCTTTACCCAGAGTCAATGCAGTGAAATGCACTGCTAATGAGCTTACTTTGCTTTAGGGATTTAAAGATGCAAGCCATCACCTATTATTCATGAATGCCACCAGCACTGTCTACAGGGGATGGCATCTGTCAGGCTCCTCCCTAGAGGCTCAGACATCAGAGCTGGAGCACTGGGGACTGAAAACTGCCTGGGATTCATCATGCAGACAGGCATTAGTGCAAAGCGCTCATCTAAAAATGACTGTAAGGGAAAGGAATATACCACCATATATTTGCCACATGTTAATCATGAGCTCAGACCTAGAACCTACCAGCCAGAACTCCAAGGAGGTGAAAGCAGTAATTTTATGGAGAGAACACCACTGAATAAAAGGTGTTTTTTCCCTTTCTATTAACTATTTTTTCTCTTCCCTTTGTGGAGTCTTTTAATTTGCAAATCCTTCCTCCTTCCTTATTATCCTTATTTCTGATCCTATTCTCACTTACTTACTTCTTTCCTTGATGGAAACTGTTTACTCTTACTGTACTTAAAAAATAATTTTGATATTACAAAACCATAAGAAAAGATCCCTTCCTGGAAGAAAGTGCCCAACTAGTGAAACAACAGTGGCAACACAGGCAAGATTTGATTACTCACGAGTCTGTGCCTGTCAGTCTCCTCTATGAGCTCAAAACCAAATGCATACCTCAAACAGGAAACAAATTTAATGGGCAGTTCAAATGGTAACACAGGCATTTAAACAGAAAGAGAGGGAGAATTTGTTTCTGGTTCATAGAGGGGGCCAAACTAATAGAGATTAGGTGCTAAGGAAAGATCACAGACAGATGCAAGTCTAAGTCCACAGGGAAAAATCAGTCCAGTCCCTCACTTTTACAAATAAAGAATCAGAGACCCAGTGAGTTCTTGCCTTAGTTCTTGCCTTAGAAAATCCTATCTCATCTATTTTCCTCCCAGAGTCAGCCCCCGCAGAACCTCCCCTGTGAAACTCTCCTTCCCCTCAGCAACTTAGTCAAAGCTCCACAGCACCAACCATCATCCTGACTCTGGCTGATCTCCTTAGGTTTCTTTTTTCCCTGACTGGAAGCTCCTAGAGGGCAGAAATTGTGAGCCATGTTTTCCTAGGGCTTGACATTTAAAAAAAAAAAAAAATAGTGAGTATATACATTCACATGAAGCTGGCTGGTGGTAAAGCCAGGACTGGAACATTTCAACCACAGTGGTACAATCCATGGGGGCAGATCATTACAACAACATGGGCTTTAGAGGAGTAGGATCCTGGATTTTATTAGTTCTGTATTCTGAGAAAAGTGACATATTTAGGCTAATCCATAAATACCTATCCTGCAAGCCTATCAAGAACTCAATTAGACCCACTATGCAATCCATAGAGGACAGTGCTCAGCACAAAGTGAGCAATGCATTCTACTTCAGTTCTACAACCCAAACTTTCCCACATTTTAACATTTCTGAATTAAGGATGTGTCCCACATCCACTAGGTACACTTAAAGGGCATATTATTTCTTTTTTCTAAAAAGTGGTTATTCAATACACGAAGTATCTAACAATGAGTGATGCCTTTAAATGGAGGAAATTCAACAGTTTCTTTTCCTTTCTCCTGCCATCAACAGCATTGGCCTAGCTCAATGTTTTTCACACTTTTGGTCACGACCTATAGGTGGATTGTAAAATCAGTTCTGGGTCATGAAAACCATTTAAAAAATGGTATAGTGAATATGAATTGCACATAATAAAAGCAAGCATTTTTTCATGAAATGTGTGGGTGTATGTGTATAACTGTATGTATACATATATACACATGTATAGAAAATGTATTTCTGGTCAAAGGTTTTTTGAGAAACACTGGCCTAGTTGAAATATATAAATTTAGGGCAGATAAGCGTGGCCCTGGTAGGCAAATACAGTGATGGCTTCGCCATTTTAGATCAAGAACTTGAACAAGCTAAGTGGGTAAAGGAGGAAGCGTCAACTTAAGGGGGAAGAGGAAGCAAGAGGCATTAAGTGAAGAGGAAAAGGAATAGAATGAAGATGGGGGTGGAGCCAGTAAGTCTGAGTATATGCAGTGCACCCGTGCATGTATGCTCATGGAACCAAATGCAAATGTTGTCCCTTCCCCACCTAGTTCAAGCTCCTTCTAATGACTTAGAACAGGCTAGGAAAGAGATACTGTATAATTCTCTAAACATCAAAGGGGAATATTCTTATTATTTTTGATTCTACTATCATTATATTATGCAATTAGTCTCTGACTTTAAAAATATGAAAAGTAGGGGGCTTCTCTGGTGGCGCAGTGGTTGAGAGTCCGCCTGTCGATGCAGGGGACACGGGTTCGTGCCCCAATCTGGGAGGATCCCACATGCCGCGGAGCAGCTGGGCCCGTGAGCCATGGCCACTAAGCCTGTGCGTCCAGAGCCTGTGCTCCGCAACGGGAGAGGCCACAACAGTGAGAGGCCCGTGTACCGCCAAAAAA